TGTGTGTTAGTTCACTCTGCATAATGTTCTCTAGACTCTCCCATGTTATACGGTAGGAATGGGAAAGTTTCATAAAGGACTTGAAAAGATGGGTGATAATAGGCATAGATCAACAGTAATTAATGATATAAGATAATCATGCATATGAATGAATAAAACACATTGTACATACATGAAACACAACATACATGAATGATCATAGAAAACACAAGTTTACATACAAAACAGGTGTATATGAATGACTGTATGCAAATCAATAAAAACGCTTTTTTTAAAAAAAAAATGGCTCTTGTCTAAGAGTTCATGATTTCTTCTGTTAAGTCAGAACGTCACTTGGGCAATACTTAGCTGAGCATGCTTACCATGTATAACGGAGTCCTGAGTAGCACAATGGTAAATGTGATGGACTGCTTCCTGAAGGGCTGGGTCTCAAGTCCACACTGAGACACTTGGAAGAAATGCCTAGTGACTTAGGTCCTAGGCAGAGAAATCCTCTAACGCACAATGTGCTTTGACACGCACAGAATGGTCATCAGCAGGAATCACATTCAATGGCAAATGTCATAGTAGAGCTCATTCTAGATTTTAAAATGCAATGAGAACAACAACTGAAATTTCACGGTGAGAGGTGTAAAGATTGCTAGAGGGAGGGCAGCAGGGAAAGGGAGTACTGCCTGGATCCTCGCAGGCCTCAGCTATGCCAACAGTATTTGAGCACGTGAGCTTGTTCTGTAATCTCACACTTGCATTAGCCATCGTCTGTCTTCACTAGGAGGCAGGTATGAAGGAAAGAGCTGATGATGCAGTATGGAGACACGAGAGTATGGGAGAGGTTATATAGAAAGCAAGATGCTAGAGAAAAGTGACAAGATTAGGGATAGTGTGGGCTTCATCAATCAACTAAGCTGTATTCTAGTGTGATTTTTCTAAGAAGTAGAAGGCTAAAGAGGCTTATTTTTTAAAAAATTATTGGTTCCAGAAAACTCTCCATTCACATTGTTGTTAACCCATTGCCATGAGTCCATTAGCTGTCATTAAGAGGCCCCTGAAACTACCATGCACAATAAGATGGGCCTGTTTCCATTGGCTGATTTTCTTTTCTCTCTCTCAGGAATACATTCTCTGATCCTCCTTCCCAGTCTGTCTTAGTCTGGAAGCTCCACTGAAACATTTCCAACGCAACACACAGTACATCAGTGGCAGAGGCTAGTGTTGTGAGATGCACTGGTGAGAATCAAACTGGGGTCTCCTGCATGGAAGTTACTAAGTTTACAGTGAACCACTAAAAGTCGGTTGCCTTCGATTTGAGCCTGACTCCTTGTGACCATATGTTTGCTAGAACAGATAATGAGCCAGAGGATTTACAACAGCTGATTTCAGGACAGCAGATTTCCAGGTATTTCCTCTAAGGTGTCTCAGGGTAGATTCAAACTTTCAACCTTTTGTTCAGTAGCTGAATGATGGCATCACCCAGGGACTCCCTAGTAAACTATTTACTTACTCACTCACTCCTCACTCACTCACTGATACTGAGTTAGAAAAGACTCCTACCTGACCTTCTTGTTTGTTGTCAAAGGCTGTAAATTGCATGGTAAGGGATTTCTTATCTTCGTCCTGAGGAGTCACTGATGGATTCGAATCACTAGAGAGGTGTTGCCTTTGTGTTAGCAGTGGAACTTCCTGTGGACTGTGCTACCAGAGCTCGGCACCCTATTAGAGGAAGGTAATAAAGCTCCCTTTTTCTCAGCACTGGAATCCAGCCACATGATGTTAAGAAAAATGATGTGACTCTGAGAAGGACCCAGGTACTGCCTGTGGGCCTGCTGGTGTTCGAATATGCACAGCTGGGGTGAATTTAATTGTAGAGGCGTTTCCTGGCTCCAGGAGTTACCAAGACAAATGCTGGAAATCCATGAGCAGTGAGAATTTCTTTCTTAGATTTTTTTTTTAGGGGGTTCTTTTCTTTCTTTCTTTTTTTTTTTTTTTTTGCATTCTGTCTCCCAACAACAGGAGGTACTGAAATGGAGAAAATGGTAAAACAGGACTGTGCACATGAGATAATTTAAGTGCTAATATTTACAGTGATTGACGTATTCTGTGTAATGTGTCCACAACAGGTCATGCAGTAGGCAGCATGGGCTGCACTTATTGAATTAATGTCTTTAAATATGAATGTATGAGGTACTTTACACGATGTGTTAGGTATCCTTCACGTCTCTTTCGATGAGCTTTGCTCTTCTGAATCGAGTTGGTGCTTGCTCTCTCCCCAGAGATCACACTCTGTTAGCATGTTAAGTGAAATAACAGACTGTCACTTCCAATTGCATTACGGCCATCAATAATGATTGTCTCGTTGTTTGGGGCTGATGCTATCTGGTGGGCTAGATTATTAAATCAGCTCCCTAGCCGTCAGAGTCAGCACAGTCCCTGCCATCCTGACAGCAGTCTGCCATGTTGGCACCATCTTCTGCCTGCTCAGAGTGCTGATGAAGAAAGCAGACTTCTTTTTTAAAACAAAATTTAATTTTTTTTAATTGACAGCTCAATCAAAGTTTACAGAAAACTTGGATTTCCATTCATTCACTGTTGCACATTTTCCTCCTTACCCTCCCCCTGTTTGCTTTTCTCTTGAAAAAAAAAATTCTTTCATTGTACAATTTCTTCTTCCTCCCCAAGTCCACTTTGCTATGTACTTCTTATTTTGGACTGTTGTCATGCAAATAACACCTAATCATATATTCCTTTTAAACAGTTTATTTCCCTTATCAATTTTAATACAGCGTTCATTATTTATTTATCCCCTCTTTTCTTAGTTTTCGCCCAACCCCCATTTCAGGCCTGTTTTATAACAGTACCACTATGCAGTATTTGTCCTTTTGTGACTGAGATATTTCACTCAGCATAATGACTTCTTACTGGTGTTTCTTTCTTTTTTAAAAAATTCTCGTTTTTCAGGAGAGATGGATTTTCATTCATTCATTGCTGCACATTTTTCTCCCTAGCCCTTTGCCCCAGTTCACTTAAAAAATAAAATTCATTCATTGTTTCACAATTTCCTCCTTCTCTCCCCCTTCTCAGTCCATTTTGTGATGCACCTCTTATTCTGGACTGCTGTCATACAAATAATGACTAATCATATATTCTTTTTAAACAGTGCTTTCCTTCATCTGTTCCTATGCAATGTTCAACATCTCTCAAGTTTCTTGTTGGTCCCATGGTTTTCTCCGGCCCTGGCTCTTCTGGCCCCTTTCATTTTGTCCTTTCCTGTCATGGAGCTTCCTGGTGTCATACAGATTGCTGAAATTTTGTTTTTCGTCACACAAATAACTACAAGTAGGAAGAAGCACAATTCTTACCCTGCCAAACTATCTTCTCTAGAATCTGTCGTCTGAACAGAGCAGGGGAAACACCGTATGGTTTAAAATCAAGTAAGGTGAGAGATGGGGCTGTAACCTTTTCCCATGCCTATTCAATTTGTATGATGAGCAAATCATTCAAGAAGCTGGACTGGAAGCATAATGTAGCAGTAGGACTGGATGAAGACTCATCAATAACCTGTGCTATGCAGATGACCTTGCTTCATCAATGTGAGGAGGACCTGAAGCACTTGCTGCAGAAGATCAAGGACTACAGTCTTTACTATGGATTGCATCTCAACATCAACAAGACAAAATTCCTCACCACTGGACCAACTGGAAAAATCATGTAAGATCAAGAAAAGATTGAAAACTGTTAATGTTTTCATCTTACTTGGATCCACAATCAACACCCTTGGTACCAGCAGTCAAGAAATCAAAAGATGCATTGCATTGGGAAAACCTGCTATCAAGGATCTTGTTAAATTTCTGAAGAGCAATGGTGTCAGTTCAAAGACGAAGGTGCATCTCATTCAAACCATGGTATTTTCCATTACCTGCTATGCATCTGAGAGCTGGACAATGAGTAAGGATGATAGAAAAACAACTGATGCCTTTCAGTTGTGATGCTGGAAGAGAGTACTGAATATATTCTATGATGTATTCAAAGAACAAACAGCTATGTCTTGCAGAAAGAGCATCCAGAATGCTCATTAAAGGCAAGGATGGTGAAACTTCATTACACGCACTCTGGGCATGTTGTTATGAGGGCTATTCCTTGGAGAGAGCCATAATGCTTGGAAGGTAGAAGTTCACCGAAAAAGCAACGGGCTCAAGTATTTCAGAGACGATGAGGATGGCACAGCATAGGCCAGGGTTCAGATCTGTTGTTTAAACGATGGCTATATGTCATACTCTACTCAACAGCATCCAACAACAAGAACATGCAACATAAGAGAACTCAGGAGTGGAAAGGACTTGCACTGCCAACCCAAAAGCACACAGTTCAAATCCACCAGCCATTAAGTGTGAGAAAGATGGACAATCTCCTGCCTCTAAAAACCTGCGGGAGGGTCAGTTATGAGTCGATTCCAATTCGATGATACCCAACACCAATGCAGAAATGCTGCTTCTTAGAAGTGAAGACAGTTAGAGCCTTCAACTCAGTTACTTTAAACAAGTTATCAAGAGAGGTCAGTCCCTGGAGAGAGCCAGAAAGAGAGGAAGACCCTCGATGACATCAGCTTGCAGCCATAATATTAGCTCCTTAGGATTTTGGTATTTTGGGCATTTCATCTCAGGTATTTTGGGCATGTTATCAAGAGAGGTCAGTCCCTAGAAAAGCGCATTAGGTGTGACAAAGAGGAGAGTAAGTCAGCAAAAGAGAGGAAGGCCCTCAACGAGATAAACCGACGTCCTGGAATAGTTAGGATTGGGCAGGGTTTTGTTATGTCATCCATGATGAACTGACTCAATAGCACCCAACAACATGAAAATCAGTTCTATCCTGACATATATGGAATCACCGTGAGGTGGAACAGAACACTGACAACTGGCCTTAGTAAGAATCTTACTAGCATGTGTACGAACCCCATGCTTAGATCTAAGCATCTATCCCTTGGAGGGTGGGCCAGTCCCTCTTACCTTTATCATAGATTTCCTTCAAGACCCCTCGCTTTATCAGCTCCTCTCTGCTTTGCCTCATTGATATTTTCCTTTCCAGGGCTACAAGCGAAAGACAGAGAAGAAGTTGTGAGTATGTAACACTTGTTTTATTCTTAAAATTCCAGTACTTCTATTTTTCTTTTCCGTTTTAGGTTTACAGAGGAATGGTGTAGAAAACGCAGGTAGGGTCGAACTGTGATCGACCATCATCAGCATCTCCAATTCCTTTGGCTCCTTTGTTCCAGGGGATGGACCAATACTGATATGTTACTATTCACTGAAGCGCACAGTTCACGTTAAGAGTTCCCTGGGCATTAAGCAGGATTGCGGAGTTTTAGAAATGAGGATGTGGAGGTAGGAAGCCCACCCACTGCTCTCCACTCCTAAGCCCCCAGGGGGAGCCGCCAGGTGTAAAACGGACACCTATCTATTAGGAGAGCAGCTGTATCTGTCCCACTTGAGCCCAGTGTGCAGAGGGCGGGAGCTGGAGGCGGAAGCGGCTCAAAGATTCCTCTCAGAAGAGTGGGCATGAAGGTGGGAAATCAAGTGGAAATAAAGGCTAAGTGGAGAAGTGAGGAGCCGTACAAAGAGAGGCATAGCTTGGCGTGCCAGGTAGCGCAGGGCAGAAACGAGTCTGTGAAATAAACGTAGCTCTTTGGTACAGCTGTGTGTCAGGTCCTGGGTTAAGACTGTGCCGAGGTGAGGGGTATTTAAGTTGCTTTTATCACCTTGAGAATTTCTGTATCCTTTGCAAATGCACTTATTTACACGGGGGCGGGGGGAGGGTGTCAGTCAAGAAATTTTAAAAAAATCTATCTTACACAAATTCAGATACAGATCTTATAACATACACAGCTCAACAGAAGAACACCCAAACAAAACAAATGAGTGAAAACTAGAAAGCCAAACATGGAATCCTGGATTGGGAATTTGCTACCCACTTTGCCACTGTGAGAAAAATATAGATGTCTGGGCTCCCAGGTTCTGACTGGAGAAGTCCAGAGACTGAGACTTGCTTTGTTATACACTTGGGAATCTATGGTTTAACATATTCTAATTCTTAAATGACAAAAAAAAAACCCCAAAAAACAAAAAACCAACACCCACTGTTAATTCACAAGAAGCTTGTGGTGGGCCTAGTGCGTAATGTATCAGGCTGCTAACCAAAAGATCTGTGGTTCGAAATCCACTACCAGAGTTATGGGAGAATGATAGGCAAACTGTTCCCATAAGGAAGAGCTGACCTGTGACTCTTGTGAGACAAAGCTGGCTGAAAGACTGAGGAAACCAGGGGCTTTGTGCAATTCTGCTGCTGGACTGAACTTGGACTTTCACTTGTTGACCAAGTGGTCTGAACTAGCTAAAGAATCGTGTCTTGCTGTTAATCTATCTAGGGCTTCTATTCCCTAGACATGGACTTTCACTGTGTGGTGGCCTTTGTTTCCACCAATTCCCAACCTATTTCCCTAATACATGCCACAACTCTAAGTAAAAAAAAAAAAAAGTATAGTCTTGGAAGCTCAGTGGAAGGCTGCTGTGAGCTGGAATCAACTGGATTCCAGTGTGTTTAAGACAGATTAGAACTTCCCATAGGGCTTCCAAGGCTGGAAATCTTTACAAGTGAAGAGAGCCTTAGCTTTTCCTCATAGCAGGTTTAAACTGCCAGCCTAGGATAGCAACCAAACATTTTAATCAGTGTACCTCAGGGCTCCTTAATAACAAGGTATGTGATAGAAAAACTAATGTTAGATTGTTGTTGTTAAGTGTTGTCAAGTCAGAACCAATTCATAGATGCATCACTGTCCGCCGGCAGGTTTTTCGAGGCCGTAAATTGCACAGGAGCGGATTACTCATTTTTTTGCCCCTGTGGAGAAGTTGGTATTTGAACTGCATGTGTCTGGGTTGGCATCACAATTCCTTACCATTCAAATCTCACTCCTTTGGGTTGGCAATCTTACCACTAAGCCACCAGAGTTCCCTCCCTCTTAGGTCATTGTTGTTGTTGTCATGTGCCATCAAGTTGACTACAACTCATAGCGCCCCCATGTACAACAGCCCTGAACTCTGCTCTATCCTGAGCCAATCTCATGGTCTCTAACATACCTATCCTCATTACCCCAGATATTTTGTCAATTCGTCTCATCCAGGGTCTTCTTCTCCTTCACTGTCCCTTGATCCTTTCAAGCAAATATCCTTCTCCAAAGACTAGCCTCTCCTGGTTACATGCCCAAAGTACGTGAGATAGAGTCTCAAAATCCTTGTCTCCAAGGAGCAGCTTGGTTTCACTCTCTCCATGAGAGACTTGTTAGTTCTCTTGGCAGTCCAGTACGTTCAATATTCTTCTCTAGAACCATAAGATTAGGTTGTTTAATGAGAACCTGTAATTTACAGTCTCTGAAAACTTGCTGGTGTCAATTAAAGTAGGTTCTGACTTTATAGCAGTGAATAACATAAAAGATATATGCAGAAAAAATAAGGGTAAAAAGATTACATGGGGGTGTGAGGGTTAAAGATGGACGTAGAAGAAATCAAAGTGTTTTGAAAAAAAATTACTATGGATTAAACTGTGCCCTCCCAAAAGGTTCACTTAGGTCATAACCCTTCTCTCTTTCATTGTCATCAAATTGAAATTGACAGATATTTCCAGTGGTTTTCTGGGAGGCTGTCCACTGCTGAGAAGGAGACTGTCCATCTCTGTCCCTCGGAGCTGCTGGCTATCTTTGGGTGAGCAACCTAACTTGTGAATATGACTTTATTTGTAGATAGGGTCTATGATGACATTATCAATTGAGTGAACTTGAGGGTAACTGGATCGGTGTGGTGTCCTTCAAAAGAGAAGAGATAGAGATACAGGCAGAGGAGGACCCCAGGTGACCTTGCAGTGGTAAGCCAAGGCATGGCTGGGCCTTGAAGAGCCAGGGGTAAGGCAGGTAGCAGATCCTCCCTCAGAGCCATGGATTGAAACAGGCTGGCAGGCAGCCTCAGCTCAGCACCCCACCCTGTAAACAATAGACTGTACATTTCTTTCTTTTCTTAGAAGCCACACAATTTGTGGAATGTAGAACGCAGTAACTGACACTTGGATGAATGAGCTTTATCAACCACAGCAAACGATGCAATCTGTCTGAAAGAGGACAGAGGTGGCCTGAGAAACCAATGGAGAAGAGAAAGAAATGCCTGCGAGATTTTATTTCTCCATGAGACCGCCTTGTGAGGCTTGTTCCATGCAAAATATCAGGCTTTAAAATGGGAAGGCATTTAAGAAATTATTTAATTTGTTGTTGTGCAGAATATATACAGCAAATACATCCAAGGTCAACAGTATTCACAATGACCATTTACAAAACTCAACTCACTGTCACTGAACCGTCATAGACTCCTAGCTGACTCTCCAGCTGGTTTTCAGAGGCTGCAAATCACAGAAGAGCAGACTGCTCATTTTTGTCTCTCAGAGCAGTTGGTAGATTTAAACCACTTGCCTCTGGATTGGCAGTGCAACTCCTTATTCCTGAGGCCACCAGAGCGCAGCACGGACAATTTATTGACATTGATTGCATTCCTTGACTGGTACAACCATTCCCACCCTCCTTTTTTTGAGTTGTTCCTCCCTTGTAAACATAATTTGCCATCCTTTAAGGCTCCTAGTTAATCTTTTGAGTTGCTGTTATTAATCAGATCCCATATTGATCATTCTCCAAAGAGCATAATACTTAAAGCAGATAATTTTTACTAGTTAATGTTCCTAGTTTGATTGAGGATAGTAAGATTTCACCTCATATACTTTGAACATGTTATTAGGAGAGACCAGTCCTTGGAGAGGGACATCTGGCTTATTCGAGAGTCAGCTAAAGAAAGGAAGGCCCTCAACAAGATGGGCTTAAACAACAGAGACTGTGAAGATGGCCTGTCGCTGGGCAAGGTTTGGTTCTACTGTCACAGAGCTGCTGAGAGTTGGAGCCAACTGACTGACAGGTCTTAACACCACCACCACTGTTGGGTTTCAAGAAAACTTCAGCGGTATTGTTTGGTTTAAGGTTTCAGTATTAACTCAGGACAACAGTTTCGGGGATTCATTCAACTTTTGTCCTTTATGGCTCCAGTTAACTTAAAGATTTACTAAACAACTCCTAACTCACGACTGTTAATCCTAATTCACAGCAAGCCTGTAGGAGAAAGGTGGACTGCTTTGTAGAGTTTCTAAAGCTATACATCTTGAAGGAAGCAGAATGCCTCTACTTTCTCCTTCAGAGTGGCTGGTGGGATGGGATGCTCACTTTTCTGTTAGCATCCAGTTCTTTACCATTACCAAGCCTCTTCTCTCTTCTCTCCCTCCTGTTACCAAGGCTACTCTCTATCTCTTTTACACACACACACACACACACACACACACACACACACACACACTCTGATGAATCCTTGGGAGCATTTAAGTAATTAGCACCTAACTAATGTCAAGCCAGATGAATTCTTATTAGACTTTTTCTAGTTTCTCCCTAGAGAGCACGCTGATGCTTCCCTTGCTGTTTTCAGGCAAGCTTGGAGAACTAGATACAGATCAAAGAGGCGATGGTTTTGTCCTTAAACAGTTGTATATTGTTTGCACTTCCTGGAATTGTATGTAATAATTACATTAACTACCTATGGGCAGTTGTTTGTGTAAGGTTATAAAATAGTAAGGTACCTCCTCCCACTCTTAACCCAGTCTTCCAGGCGGTCAGCTGCCGCCAGATCCTTGCAGTAGTGCTTCCCCTAGTCACTAAGTTTTCCTTTCCTAGTAAACTGAAGCATACTGAAGATCCCACAGGCTGTCAAAAGGACAAAAAGACTGAAAAAAACAAGGCCAGAGTGTTCATGGGAGGCAAAGACGGAGAAGCCTTGTCTTTCATACTCTGGACATGTAGGTAGGCCAGACTATTCCTTTGAAAGGGACATCACACTTGGAAAGACGAAGGGTCAGCGAAGGAGAGGAAGACCCCCACTGAGATGGACTGACCAAGTGACTTCGGCAATTGGCTCTGCTGTGTCAGAGATGATGAGAGTGGCACAGGGTAGGGTTGGTC